ACATATTAATTCAAACTATAATAAAGATATTTCATTTATGTAATCGATAATCAATATGTTACAAAAAAATATGGCTTGGTTACATATGATAAATTAACTAAAATATCTAAATCAAAACCGTGCAATATTTTTGTCCTCCCCCGGTACATGTAAGCTATTAATTATATAATATTACTTTTAAAATTTTATTACATCCTATTTACTATTATTTTATTATATATAAAAGAAAATTATTAAATGTATATTAAGTATAATCGCGAAGTTAAATGTAATAGTTTAACTTTTATATATACATGTATAATATAATGTGCACGGCGGCTAAAGACTTTCTAAACGAAATATCTTTGAGATGTTTTGACCGATAAATGATAACGAAATTGCATTTACTAAAGTGTTCATTAAAATTCATTCTGTTGTTTCTTCCTTTATTCTCATTAATTGTTGGATTGCTTCTTGCTCATTTTTTATATAAATTGATTTAGTAACATTTGTGTGCGTGTGAATTATATAACGTTAATGTTTTTTTTGCTTTAAAAGGATGTTAAGTTTTTGACTTTATTAAAGACTTTTGTCTGACTTTGACATGATAAAAAATATAAGTGATTTTATGATAAAATATTGTAAAATAAAAAATAAAGCAATTGATATTTATAATAGTAAAGAATAAAATTAAGAAATAAAATAATTATACCGTAACTTCACGAGTTCACGGTAAACAATGCATGATTGGATAATTTGCCACTTCGTGGCAAAATCCACCAATCAAATACATTGCTTACCACTGATAACCCGTGAAGTTACTCTAAATAATTTATATATATATGTTGTAGCCCAAACGTCACCTTGTTCCAAGTTAAACTTGGGATATCCTAAATCGGAATTCCTATTTCGGACTTCCCAAACTGGAATTTCGATTTTGGATGATCTTGTCCCAAATCTAACTTGGGATATCCCAAATTGAATCTGGGGTATGGTTAAGTTTGGGACATTTAATACCCCAAACCTGACCATATCCCAAATCAATTTAGAACATGGTCGAGTTTGGGACATGATCATCCCAAATCAGAAATTGGAGTTTGAGAAGTCTGAAATAGGAATTCCGATTTGGGATATCCCAAGTTTAACTTGGAACAAGGTGACGTTTGGGCTACAACATATATATTGAATTATCTTGAATTGTTCATATATAAAAAAATATATTTTTTGCTTTTAGACTCGTATAATTGAGAACTTTACCGAAATTCAATCACATGAAAGATATTGAGAAACCTAGAGAATCAAATATTATTTAGTATTTATAAAGGATCAAAAGTTCAATGAATCAATAATATATTCAGAAGACATATTGAGAGTCAAGAACCGAGAGGTAAATATATCGAGAAGAAAACAAAGAAAATTGCAAGAAAGAGAATAAATTAAGATCAGAGCAGCAAAGGCATCATATGTATTTCTTAAAAAATCAGTGATGGTATGATTGTCAAATAATGATCGTAATTTGGTAAAATAGTTTGATTAGAATTGTGGTTTATCGCACTTACCAACTTTATTGATGTAGAAAATTTCATTCTTTTTTATAATACACATAAATTTTTTTTTTTTTGTATAAAGTTTATATTACAAATATTTAATATAGCATCAAAAAAAAGCAAATGTTATCAACCAAATTTATAATATATAAAATCAAGTTTATTTTTTTTTTAAAAAAAAAGCAAAATGTCGACCAACTTCCGTTGACCAACATCATCATTTGCCGAAAACCAAATATTAAGCTATATAATAAAATATAATAAAATATGTATATATATAACTTATTATAATGTTTGATGGTTGTATTATATGCTTAGATTATAAATGTTTGCAGTAAAAATCCTTTGAACGGAACGATAAAAATGATTTTCGTTCAAATGATTATGTCTGCAAAGTGATTATGTCGTTAAAGTGGTTGTCGCTAAAATGATTGGACTAATAATAGATCACAATGCATAAATAGTATTATATAGAAATTATTAAATTTGTCACCATTATAATAAGGTTATGTTGATAGAAGAACTAAGATAAATAAATGTCATTAATTAAAAAAAAATTATGATAAATAATATCGATATGAACTTTGAATAAAAAAATAATCGATAAATAAAGTAAAAAAAAGACAGTATTGTGTTATGGAAGTGACGGAAAAGTCTTCAAATTCTCGGCAATGCATAAAATTTATAAATATTATACAGTATGTGGTATAGATGATACAGTAAGCTGCATTAAAAATTGCTATCTTCAAAGGCTCGGAAGATAAAAAATTGTGCATATTTATTTTTTCAAGGGAAGAATTCATAATTGACATAATCTGAATTTTCGTCACAAGTTGAAATTTGCCTACTTCCTTGATTATTTTCAATAAATACGAAATCATTAAACATATGTTCCATTCCATACTCTTGATCGAAAATGTTACAAGTGGGATAATCAATAGAATTCGGTGTAAAGATTATATCCTCAACGGGAACCTCAATGCCTTGTGTATAATTGACATAATCTGTATTGATACGCAGAGGTGATAACTGCACGTTTTCGCATTCCAATATTCTAATATATTCTTGATCGTAAGCAACTTCATTCATTCTATTCGGGTATTCGAAAAAGTTGCAATTTGAAAAACTCTCTTGGGAGCTATTATTAGAATTGCCGCCAAGAGAAGAATTCATAACGCTTGCAAAATCATCTTCGATCTGAAGATACCCGCTTGTTGAATTTTGCGTATAGATTATATTTTCAATGGGATCTTCAAGGCCTTGAGTATAATTGACATAAATCGAGTCAGCTTTATTAATCATGCTTGTCATATGTGAAACCTGCCCGGTTTCTTCAACTTCATTCATATGTTTATCAAATACGATTTGAATTTCATTTTGCTTATACAAAGATTTAGCATCCTCGGATAGATTTCTGTAAAATTCCTTCACGTTTTCTGGTTCTTTATTCCAATAACATGAAGCAACTTTAGAAAGTTGTTCCATAGGAGGTAATTTAATGTTTCTAATTCGATTCTCTTTAATTAATGCTTTTTTATACGTGATGAAAGAATTTGGAAATGATTTTGCCTTTTTATTATTGCTAGGTGCTTTAATAACGCTTATAATTTCATTTATTGTTAAGCTGGAAGGGAACGTCGGTTTAAAAACGTAATTATAGTTGTCGTTGTCGTCGCCAACTTTATTAAACTTGGCATATGAATTAATAACGCGATTGTTATTTTTTTGCTTTCTGGTTTTAGGCATTCTTTTTTTAAAAAAAAATATAATAATAAAAATAGTTATGTATGATATAGAGTAATTTAAACCAAATTATTTTTATTTTTATTTTTATTTTTTTTTGACTTGGATGAAAAACACAAAAAAGATTTTCCTTTTTATATACATTGGTTAATTTTTGATGTGATACATTTTTTTTATACATGTATTCGTTAGGAGAGAGTTTGAAAAAGGAATAGATTTACATGTGTGAGTCCTTTTTTACCAGAAACTGAAGAGAGTATCGGTATTATAATTAATTTAAAATCCCTTACCTAATCAATAGATCAATTTTATATAATTTCAAAAAATTTTTTTGATTTATATAAGGATTTCTTTCCCTTATCAATAGATCAATTTTATATATGTTCAAAAAAATTTTTTTTATAAGATTTTCTTTTACTCGACTTTTTTTTTTTAGGCAAAATCCTTTTTTTTTTTTAAAAATCTCAAAATATTCTGGTTTTTTAAATCCCACCTACATTAAGAATCTTTGACCCACTCGTATGCTGAGGAGCATCATAAGCATGTTTCCGCTATCTTTACAGACATAATACGTCGTTAATATTAATTAATTAAGCTGCCCATTTGATAATCAAACGCCCAAGACAGAATTGTTGGTGATTGATTAGGATGTTGAGGCTTTTCGACAAAAATTATAATTTGTAGGTTAATGAAGGTTGGTAAAGTTCAGTTGAAAAGTGCCTTAGTCTGAAAAGCGCCTTTTGAAACAGGATGTTTTGAAAAGACTTGATATCTCGCAAAACATGATTTTTCAAAGGTGGTTCTTATATGAATCAAACATAAACTGTAATGGAAAAAAAAAAAAGTTAAATTCATTCAAGCAATCTCTTGAAGAAATATTTTATCTTCTTATATTTCAGTTTTGGGGAAAAGTAATGATAAGATGAGTCATCAGCTTCAGAAGTATTTAAAGGTATGTATAAAAAAAAAATTATAAAAACCTCTAGAGTGGAAGGCATTATTAGGACGAATAATCAATTAAACTTTCCGTATAAATATCAATAACTCAACAATTAAACTCGCTTACATTCTAGATTATGTTTCCGTTAATTAATAATAATAGAAAATTTATAGGCAAATACGTAATTATTATTCATTCTATTCTAAAATAAAGTCTTACACTGTGGTATATACTAGTTGTTCTCGAGTACTAAAAATAGAATTATTTTATTTTCACTCTGACCTTTAAAACTTATAAGAATGTTTTGTCTTTATAACCTAATTTATCATACTGTATTCGCATTAAGTTGTATTATTAGATTGATTGCTTACATTACCCACAACTATTATAAACGATGATAATTTATTTACATACCGGGAAAATTTCAGAACATAAACAATAAACATTTTTCGTTGAATGAATAACTTCAATTTGCGATGATGAGGATTGTCGCACAAGGAATAATTGCATCATCTGTGATTCGATATTTCCCGACATTGAAAAATTCTGAATCCTAACCTAAACTAACCAAAGCTGAATTAATTCGGCATATGGGAACGTTTCCAGTAAAATCAAGTCATGAGGCATAGTAAATCATATGATCTGTAATGTGATTTTACTGAAA